AGCCAAGGGAGCGGAGGAGAGATATAAGAAAGAAAACAAAAGACTGTGGCAAAAATAGGAAAACAACTGAATGAGTAATGTTAAGGGAGAAGATAGATGCAAAATTCTCTCTCTAGTATTATTGCAGAGCATCCCATTTTTTAATTGGATATATAAATGAGGATTATAAAGTAATGTGGACCAATACCCTGATTTGAGTAGATGATGAGATTGTGTTGAATTTCTATGGTCATTTGAAGACTTCTTTCAATTTTAAAAAGTGTCACTTAAAAACAAAGAAAAAAGGAAAACCCTTGGGAGTGCCCCCGCTCTCCCCACCATCCCCACCCCAACCCAGGCCCAACCAGTGGCACTTCCATATCGGTTGTCATCGATTCCAGATTCGTCTATGTCCCTTCAGTTTCTCGAGATAACAATTCATCCTGCCCACAGCTGGCATGTTACTCTCCTATCCCAGAACTGAGCTATTTCCCCACGGCCTCTGCTAGCAACATAAACTCTTTCCTTCAGCTTTGAAGGCCCCCAATAATCTGGCCCAAAATTGCCTCTTCCTTCTCCCCAATACCAGCCCAGACCCTTGCTGGTGGGTTCTAAAAAGAATGCTATTCTCTTGGGCCGGCCGAGTGGCACATTGGTTAAGAGCTGGCTTGGGACACCAGAGGGGCCCATTTCGGATCCCACATGAGGGCCATTGACACTGCCCTCTACAGCTAAGATGCTGAACAACAGCTCGACTTGGAGCTGGGCTGCTGTGAGTCACTGGCGATGGCGTAGGGTGCAGCCCCTGCTGCAGTGGGTTGCCATGGGCTACCGTGTGTAGCCAGCAGCCATCGTGAGTAGCCAGCAGCCACAGTGAGTGGCCGTCCGGAAGCCGGCGACTGATCTGCCTCACCCGGGAAGAGCGCAATGATGGTGCCAACATGGGCCAGTGAAGCAACGTCCTCCACAACTAGACTGAAGAACAAAAGGACAGCAACTCGTCTATTCCCTTCCCCCAATTCCCCAATAAAAATCTTTAATTAAAAAAAAAAGAATGCTATTCTCAACAAGTCAAAGTAAAAAAAAAAAAGGCAATGGAAACTTTCCCTAGTATCAGGCAAATTCATTGCTTTAAACAAATTTTCAAAATACTTCCTTTGAAATATCTTACTGTAAATTCTCAGATGTTTCCTAGTTGGCTTTCTGTGTCCTATAAAATCCAGATACAATGTCTATCTACTCCCACTCTTTCTGACAATTAATACGTACCTTCCTTCAATTTTATTTAAGAATTCTGGAGAAGGACACTCAGTTCAAATATATAATTCTATTTAGCCATCATGTCCAAAACAGCTTTACTGCAGATAAACTCATATTAAGTATCCTAAACCAAATCCTCCCTTCCTATGGGTCTTTGGTATTTGAGCTCATGAAGAATCTAAACACCCACCATGGGAAGAATGGTACTCGGCACCATTCATAACTTGAGGAATGCTGGGGCCCTCCCCACACCCACCCACAACCCACGCATCCTTCAGAATCCTTCTCAGAGCCTCCCTTTCCTATGACTCTACCCACCCCAGACTCAGCAGCCAAGCTGCCTCGTTCTGCTCTTTTATTGGACAGCCCATGTCTCCAAGACCAGAAATCTTGCCTCCATCGTCTTGCATACCCTGCACAGCACAAAACACAGAGCCAGCCACATAATTAGCACCCACTGAATTAATTTGATTTGATGTTATTTTATTGATCATTGGGACTAGGGGGAAGCATTTACTGCACCCCAAATATGCATATGGTCCCCAGGGAAGCGTGCCTTGGTAGAGAGGGTGCCTGACTGAGAGTCAAAACATGTGAGCTGGACTCCTGGCGGTGCTATGGCGTGGTAGGAAACCAATCACTTTGCTCTTTGGCCTTCAAGGCGTCTCCAGGATGACACCTGCATTCGTTTCCTGAGGCTGCTCTAAAAAATGTAGCAGCTTAAAAGAACACCCCTTTATTACCTCACAGTTTCATAGACCAAAAGTCCAGGATGGCATGACAAGGTTTTCTGCTTAGGGTCTCATGAAAGCCAAAATTGAGGTGCCAGCATGCTGCGTTCTCCTCTGAAGCTCAAGCATCTCTTCCAAGCTCATGCTTGTTGTCATCAGCAGAATTCAGGTCTTTGTAGCTGGATGCCTGAGGTCCACATTTCCTTGCTGGCTATCAGCCAGGGGCTGCCTGCAGTTTCTGGAGGCTGCCCACATGTCCTTCTCACGTGGCTACCTCCATCGCAGAGCAGGAATGACGTGTTGCCTCCTTCTCATGCTTTGAATCTGTCTGCCTTCTCCTCTATCACCACCAGCCTGAGAAAGTTCTCCATTTTTACAGGCTCCTGTGATTTAATTAGGTCCTCCCAGATAACCTCCCTAATTTTAAGGTCACCTGTACCATATAACATAGAACAATTATTGCAAGACATTGTATGACAATCTCAGCCCATTCACAGCCTCCAGAGTAGGTTTGCTAAGTTGCTAAGGTTTCTTCAGATTCAAATTGCCAGCCTGTAGTCAACTCTGATTACTCCCCCTGGTGCAGCTCCCTGGTTTTCCTTTGTCGGGGACTTCATTTCCTTCCATCCCACACTACCAGAGACTGCCACGCCGGGGTCCCTCCTCTCCTTCCTCCATCACCCAGCCTTCCTTATCTCCCTCCTTGCCCCACAAAGTTAGAGTCTGTTCCTTTCTCCTCTCAGTTCTACTCTACACTTTGAGTTTGAAACTCCACTGGGTTCTAAGCAGCTTCACACTCCTTACTTCATTTCTCCTTCCCCCAACAATCCTGTGAGTGGGGCTCTGTTATCCCCATTGTGCAGATTAGAGAACTAAGGTTCAGAGAGGCTAGATCTCTAGCCCAAGATTAAACAGAGAGTAAGTTTAACTACAACACCCATGTTCTTTCCAGTACCTGTCAGTGTGTGAGGAAAATGACCAGGCTGGAAGGGGTGGAGGGGAACAGAGAGCACACCCGTTTCCCCTCACCTCAAACCCCACCTTAAAACGCAGGCCCCCAAGAAAGACCATCAGAAAATACACCAAAACAGTTAAAAGTCTGAGGGTGATTTGTGGTTGTCTTCTTTATACATAATAACATTAACACTTTATTATACTTTCCAAACTTGTTATAGTGTGTACATATTGCTTCTGGAATCAAAACCATTGAGTTTTTTAAAGATGCATTTGTTCATTCTAGACACCAGGATATGCCTCTAGCCTGAATAAGGGGGAAATCGTTTTACTGCAGGAAGCCCTGACTCTAGACTCTATCGGAAACCATTGACGTCAAGCGTAGAATCTGACAGACCCACGTTCACCCCGTCCCAGCAGCTGCCTTGAGTCTCAACTTTCCTACCTGTGACATGGGAATAAAATACCTTCTCTGGGACACTAAACTTTGGGTGATGCTCACGTAATGCAATATATAAATGTTCTATCACAGTATTGTACACTTGAAACTTAAATAATCTTATTGACCAATATCACCCCAATATATTTAATTAAGAAGAGAATACCTTCCCTGCTCACCTCATGGGGCCACAGTGGGGGTACAATGAGAAGAGGTCCATCGAATGGCTTTGTGACCCACAGCCAACCCTTCTGTGGCAGCTACCGCAGCTCCTCCATGTCAGAGCAGGAGCTGGGCACCCACAGCGAGGAGCTGGCTTCCTCCTCTCAAGGCACCCAGAGGTCAGGACAGACAGCACTGTCAGGGGACAATCTAAGACAGAACGGCAGGCATCAGAGCACACATCTGTGCAGCATAGTGAGTGGGACGTGATTATCCCTGGCTGGGGCTGACCCAGGTGGGGGGCGACATGTTATTACTAAGTACCTGGAAGGGATAAGCTTTGCCCTCGAGCGACCCCAAATAGACCTCTACACAAGCAGGCTTGTCACAGACAACATATGAGCAGCGTGAAGGAGGGCATGCAGACCCCAGGTCTGAGTGTGCTTGGTTCCCTCACTTCCCGGCTGAGTGGCCGTGGGCAGGGCAAGCAGCAGATCTTTTGACCCCTACTGTCCTGTGTGTCACTGGGGAAAGCACGCATGCCTCGTAGGTCTTGCTCGGAGCACTGACTGAAGCACAGATTCTGTGTAAGCACCTCTCCGGGTCTGGCAGTGTTCTGGGGGTTGGGGGTGCAATGGGGAACCAACCAGGCCAGGCTGCTGCCCTCATAAGTGTAACTCTCTAAAGGAGATCACACAGGGGGCTGGCTGAGTGGCTCAGTTGGTTAAGACCTCACTCAAGAGTGCAAGCTCTAAGCAACAGCGTCGCCGGTTTGATGCCCGGCCCGAGCTGAGCTGCCGCTGAGCTGCCAACAGGTGGCAGGATGTCTCAGCTGAAAAAAAAAAAAGTTAAAGGATATCACACAGGGCAGTCACTCAGTACAGGGCTCCATGCTTTGCAGCCAATAAATGCTTGTGCTCATGGCGGGCAGGGCCCCTGTTATAAAGAAACCTCTCTGGGTGGCCTGGAGAGGGCTTGGGGAAGGGAATGAGAGGTTCCAAATATTCGAAGGTCATCGGGGGAATAACATAAGACAGAAGAATAACGAAGCTGTCATTCATTGAGTACTTACAATGTAAGGGGTTCACACTCAATAATTCACTTACTCCTCACGGCAACCCTGCAGGGTGGATACCCATCACCCTCGTTTCACAGAAGAGGAAACTGAGGCACGGATCCATGCTTGTCAGAGGATTTGAAACCAGCCGGTTTGCCCCCCTCTCTGCCGCTTCTCCGGGTTGGTGGGTGCCCCCGGGGCAGACTGGTTGGAAGAGCTGGAACTTCCTTTGGAAGCCAGCAGCCCTGGCATTTGGGGTGTTTGAGCCACCCAGCAGGATGACCATCTGTCAAAGTCTTCTTGTGGGGATTCCTGACAATATCAGATGACTGAATCTTTCTCCAGAGCAGGCAGGGCCCAGAGCCTTGGTGGGGATGATCTGCGATAATAACGAGGGATTTTCTCTTGTCTCTTTCAGCTCGCAGCCCCTCACTTCCCTGTGGTGGTCAAGCTGGGACATGCCCACGCTGGAATGGGAAAGGTATGAGAACCAGCTCTTCTCGCTGACACTGATACTCGTACGGCTTCCCCAGGCTACCTGTTCCCCTCCCTCTCTGTCGCCCACCACCCCCACCGTAGCCCATCTGCCCAGCCTACCTTCCTCCCAGCTCGCGTAGCACAGAACCCCTCTCCAGGTCAGTCCGCACTTGCAGAAACCTACCTGGAGCTGCTATAGTAGGTCATTGTTTCCTGTGATTGTGGCCTCAGGGCGTAGAGCATTTTGTCGATGTCGTCTCCATGGCTTTGCTCTTGCAGCACACACCTAGAAGGTGGCAAATTCCTGCAGCGCCATGGAGGAAGTCCCTGGGGTCAGTTAGCATCTGCAAAAGTAAATAATATATTTTACCCAGTCACAGCGGACAGAGGATGGCAAACTCTATTGGTCAGATTCTTTCAGTTGCAAATGTATAAACTCAATTCAGATTTGGAGGCCAAAGATAATTCAATGGTTCGAGCCATCACAGAGGCTGGAGCCGTTCTTGATAAGTAGCTTAGGACAGAGCTGGACCAGGAGCACAAATGACATCATCAGAGTTCCAGCTCCTCTGCCTCTTGACTCTGTTCATCTCTACTTGGTGTTTTCTTCAAATAGTCAACATGGCCTCAGCCCGTCCCGGGCCCTAAGCTCACCATACCTGAGGAAGCGAGGCCCTGTCTCTTGCCAGCATTTTCTGAGCTCATGCAGGGACATTGATCAGCCTTGCTTGGGTTCCTGTGCTCAGCCCTAGTAATCGGATATGGAGATGTATTCAGCCCCACTCAAACCATAAGGATCAGGGTCTCCCCAGGAAATGGAGACTCACTCCTAAGCCAGGGGGTGCGGGTGTGAGGCGGTGGGAGGGGGAGCTGCCACAGGCCGCCTCTCAAAGCTCTGGCTCAGATAGAACCACCTGACATGTGGATCTCGTGCCTGCCGTCCCCATGGGCGGGACCTGAGCCCAAGCACGAAGCCCAACATAGGGGGTCCTGCATCAAGGAGAGCAGGAACCAGGAGACGCCTTGCTCTGGGAAGGCCCAGCCCAGCGTATTGCGCCATTGTTCTTCCCTGCCCTGTTACGCCTTCTGTATCGCCTCCTCCCATCAAAACGCCATCCCCTTCAAATAGCAAAGGGTGGGAGGAGTCAAGCTCGGCAGGGCATGACCCCAGCTCTCACCTTTATATGAACTCGAGCAAGTTGCCATCTAACTTCTCTTGGCCTCTTCGTTTGTGGAATGGTGATAATTCTAATAACCATCTTTCCCATGAATCCTCCCTCCATGCTACATCGCCCTAAAAAGTACACATCATGAGGGCGGGGACGTCTGTGAGTTGGCCCATTGCTGGATCCCATCACACCCTCTCAGTCTGTGGGCCGAGTGGATGGATGAGTGAATCCTTCTTTACGACCCTGTGCCTGCTCCTCGCGGCCCCTCCTGTAAACCACCCCCATCTGCCGAGGCTGCCTTCCCTGTGGCCCCCAATGACTGCTAACCCTGCAGGCACTTCTCAGTGCACACCTGCGTCAACCTCTCTGGATCGTAAAGCTGCTGACCACCCGTTCTGTCCGAAATTCTTTCTCCAGTGGACTCCAGTTCATGCTGTTCTCTCGGCCCCCCTCCCCTCGCTCCTTCACAGTTTCCTTCAAGGCCCTTTCTTCCCGCCCCATTTTTAACTGTCTGTTTCATCAGTACATGCTATCTGAGAGCTCATCTACTCCTTGGTCTTCAGCGGCCATCTGCACACCAACAGCCTCCAAATCAACATTTCCTATCCAGAGCATGAGGCTCTTATATCCAGTTACCTCCACAACATGGAAGCCTCAGACTCTGAGCATCCCAGACCATGCCCAGGGTCTTCCCAGGCGGCCTGCTACCCCTCCTCACCTTCATCCTCCTCCTCCTCCTCCTCCTGTGACCATCTCTGCAACAGGAATCACAGCCTCCCACTGTCTCAAACAGAATCTAGAAATCATCTCCTCTCTTCCTCCACGTCCAAATAATTGGTCCTCAAGTCCTGTCACCTGCCCTTTATTAATGTTTGTCAAACTCGTCCCTGTTCTTTCCACCCACTGCTACCATATTAGACAATTCTGGTAAAGTTCGAGGGTTCCCAAGAATTAAATTTTTGTTTCTAAAGCTTAAAGTAATCCCAGACAGGAAGTAGAAAAGAAGGAAATACTTAAAGAGACCCACACAATGCTGGGGAACAGGAGGGCAAAGGGGGGGTGCTTCTGAGAAACTCAGGCCCAAAAGGGACTCCCAAAACATGGAAAGGAGAACACATCTCCAAGGATAGAAAATGTCACCAACCAGAATAAACTGAGGTTTGAAAAAATGCTGAGACCAAGAGGAAAGGGCTTTTCTCCTTCTGTTTGGAATAAGAAAACTATCAGGGGCAGTCTGGACATGCCGACTGAGCCGATGACGTCATATTCATGGCTGAGAAGGAGAAAAACAAATTGGTGCCTTCTATGGCACTTCTGCTTTGTCTCAAGAAGTCATTGTCTGCCTGGAGGCCATTTCTAGGAGGAAACTGGCGAAGAGGTTGTCAATGAGCTTGGTGTCGCTAGACATCCACCTAGGACCCTGTGGATGAAGTCGCTGACCCATCTTCCATTATATTTGGCTCCTTTGTTCATGTATATTGATGGGTGCCTACTCTGTGCTGAGAATCAAAAGATGAATAGGACCTAGTCCCTGCTCTCAAGGAATTGGGGAGACACTCACATAAATAAGTAAGTATAATGTATGTTGGGCGTCTGATAGAAGGCAGTGCAGGGAGTATGGGGATTTTAATGTAAGTTGTAAGGAGCTTAATTCCACCTAGGGGGTAGGAAGATGGAAAACACTTCCACATCAGGGGAGCTGTAGGTGGTTCGTTGTGCCTGGAAATGTAAGGAATTCTAACAAACAAGAAAGGCTTAAAGACAAGAGATGGACTCATATTCTCTTATATTAAAACAAGAAGAGTAGACATCACAAGACACAGGAATCAAATTATAGTGAAACACTGTACAGTTTGGGGAGCACTTAAGACAGGTGAGAGGCTATCATGGGAGCACCATGAGTTCTTTCAAAATCAGTCACACTAGACGAGTGGTTCTTGTGAGGGAAGGTGGATTCTGTCCCCACCTCCCCCCACCCCAGGAGGTACTTGGCCATGTCTACAGGCAATCTGGGTTGTCACAGCTGGGGGTGAGGGAGGTTGGGCTGGCATCTGGCATCTACCAGTGGAGGCCAAGGACGCTGCTGGGCATCCTGCAGTGCCTAAGACAGCCCCCCACCGTCACAACAAAGAACTGGACAACCCAAAATGTCAGGAGTGTCAAGGCTGACAAACCCTGGACAAAACTAATTTCATTTCCTTTTTCCTTTGTTGGAAGTTTTGCCAGACTATAAACCAGAGGAAACAGCGGTTATTACAGAGTTCAACGTGTCTGTTCCAAAGAATTATAATTCTTCAGGATGCTGAGGGCTATTTTGGTCCAATAGGTTTGGAAGTCTCTGCATTAAAGTAAGTTTTGTTACAGAAAATCTCAGGGTCATTGTAGGGGTAAAAGAACAGGAAAAAGTATGCAGGATTTCCCAGATTTACCTGACCTCAGAAACCTTTGATCATTTTTTATTGAGATGTTTGTGCTTTTATTAATTTGCAAAAGCTCTTTGCATGTTAAGCACATTAATCCTTTGTGATACTTTGCAACTATTTTTTTCTCTATTTGACAGTTACATGTCCGTGTTATTATTCAGTTTTTAACCATTTTGAAAGTTATTTTTAATGTAGTCAAATGTTTCCATTGGGAGGCATTATGGTATAGTGGCTAAGGGGGTTGATTTGAATCTAGGTTACACCACCTGTTGTGAGACCTTAGGTAAATTACTTAGCCCCCCAACTTCTATTTTTGTACGTAAAATGAAGATAATAGTATCAACTGCATAAACTTAGTGAGGATTAAGAGACATTATGCATATCGAGCACACAGCTCAGTGCCTCGAACACAGGGGGCCCTCAATAAATATTAGCTGTCATTATCATGAAAAATGTTTGGACCTACTCGGGGGACCCACAACCCAACTGAAGTCCTTCGGGGAGATATGGCTAAGCAGCAGCATCTGTCAGAGGCTTTATTTCGTTTGGCTACAAGTTCAGTATGAGTCAGATGATAAGGGGTTGCCAAAACCTTTAATCCACAAATACTGAATAAATAGATGAAAATGGGCTCAACCTCATTATTCGTTAGGGAAATGCAAGTTAAAACCACAATGAGATGCCACCATAGAACCACCAGAGTGGTGAAAATTAAAAAGATGAATAATACTAAGTGTTGGCGGTGACGTGAGACAGTTGGAACACACACACACACACACACACACACACACACACACAGAGCAAGTGAAAGTAGTAATTGGTACAACTGGTTTGGGAGGCAGCTTGATATTATCCACTCAGCTAAAGTCACACAGTTCTTCTTTCAGATATAAAAACGTAGATGTTACCTTTGTGGGGGTGGGCGGAGTGCTCACCGCCATAAGGCAGACGTGGGTGAAGGTCTAGTTCTTGGCTTGGGTGGTGGTCACGTGGATGGTTGCTTTGCGACAGCTCATTGAGCTGTCGTTTGTGTACTGTGCAGTTCTTCATACATGTGTTATATTTTGACGTAACGCAAGGTTTTAAAAATGCCATCCACTCTCAGGCTATGTTAATGGCGATCTGATATCCAGAGCATGCACTGGTCAGTCCGTGGTCAGGAGACTAGATTGGGTTCCGGGCTGTACATTAGTCCTGGGTGTCTGATAGGGCCAGTGACATATGAGTGTGTCCAGCGAAAGCTGAACTGAACAGAAGGGAAGAGGCACGGAGCCCAGAAGGGCTAGAGACAGGGTGGCCAGCACCTCAGGGACATGGAGAATTGTCATGAGAAGGAAGATGGGACTGATTCTACATCACATCTAGCAGGCAAAGCTGGGAGCAAAGTTAGGGCGAAAGTGATGTCAGTGGTG